CACAGGCCTGTGTTATATTCGGGGTAGGCCAGTCCAGGCCGGTACCTCTGTCGGTACCAGCCAGTCCAGTCCAGTCCCGTCAGTCCGCTGGGGTATACCCCAGCCACTGTCTGTTTTCAGTCTCATTCCTTACTTGCACATTTTGGAGTACGTGCGTTGGAGTCTTGCGTGGGGAGCTGCGTTGTGCCATCTTGCTCCCCCCTTCTTCCTCCATCTGCATCTCTGTCACTAGCGGAGCACCACACCTGGTGGGTCCGCTACAAGCCCCCACCAGCGATCGCTCCATCTCAATGTCATACTCAGCCTTGATGTGCACAAGTGCAATGCAATCCTCCTCTGTGAAGTTGTCCACCTTTGAGCACCACTTGCCTTTCGCTGCGAGAGAAGGCTGATCAATGTCTTCTTCCTCCGAATCGTCGTCGTCAGATTCGCCATCGCCTTACGGCATGACAGCAGACGACAGCGAATTCGACGCCGCCCGTTTCGGATTCGTGGCCTTTGACGGTGTACGAGTTTCATTGCCCTTGCCGACTTTTGCACGTTGTTCCTTCGCGGGTGTGGAAGCTTTCGCACTCTTGTCTCGCTGCTCCGACGTTGAACGCTGCTGGATCGGCGGACCCGGCAAATCATCCGGAACGAGCCGGATGTGCATTCCACCTTCCCCGAATTCGTGGCATGTCCATCCAGCGTTGTTGCTGTACCGCGCGGCCGTATGAGCGGTAGAAGATGACTGTTGGGACGAGAGCCCATACCCGTCTGACCCATTGAACACGGTGTCGCCTGCACACATCGACGACCTCACCCGGCCAGCCTGTTCCGAGCCATACCCACCTCCATTCGGCGGGGGGCTATCCGGCAGCGCCTCCCGCTCGCCGTGACGCTGTTGAATGCCATGACCATAGCTGGACTGGGTTTGTCGCAGTCCCGTATCACCTCCCGCAGAAGAATGCAGATACTCCTCCCGCCCGCCGTGACGCTGTTGATTGCCGTGGCCATAGCTGGACTGGGTCTCTCGCAGTCCCGGATCACCTCCCGCAGAAGAATGCAGATACTCCGTTCGGGATGCACACGCTGTCCATGCAAGCTAGTCACCGGACAAGTTTTGCTATCGCCTAGAAGGAGCAAAGCGTGTTCCGGACTGGCCAACATTGCTGTCGTCCTCCACATCCTCCAGCGACGGCGCTCCTCCTGTCACATATGGCACCGTCGTGCCAGTCATGATGCTTGAGCCATACTGAACTGGATAGTTGCGATTGCCCTGCACTGGCATGTCATCCGGAAGCGGCTGAAGGTGCGGAGGGATGCCTGCTCCGTTGCGCTGGCCCTGCACTGGCGTGTTGTCTGGAAGCGGTTGAAGGTGTGGAGGAATGCCTGCATCGCCGTCCAAAGTTGCTCTCCACGATGGAGCAGGGCCGTTGTGCCGAGAACCCAAGTGAACGTCCTCCGACACCTGTTGGAACATCCTACGTGGAGGAAGCCCAACAGCACCATCGACGGACGGTCCCATACACACCCCGGGTGTCATTGGCGTGAAGGGGCTATCGTTCAGGTCTTGTAGATGTGGCATGACGTTGCGCCCCGGTGCCCGTCCCTGCTGTCCTGCGCCACGCATGCAGCCATCCATGGTCTTCGTACGTTGCCGACGATGACGAAGGACACTTGCCAGCCTCAAGGCAAAGCGGAGGAGACGAGAGAACACAACGCACACGAACACCAAGGCCAGCCAAAGTGTCAGGCCGATGTAAAGCAGCAACACGAGATCGGGCGCAGAAAGCATGGCGAGACAACTGCATAAACGGAAAGATACACAACTTCCAACGCGAGCATAGACTGCCGCGTTCGGGAGGCACGCAGTGTGGTGCCTCCTCATGTAAATGCGAGTTCTTATCCATGGCCTCTGCGCACGGCCCGCCCCAGCCCATGCTTCGATCCGACAGCGAGGTGAAGGTCCGCGCTCGAGCACTCAAGAAATCAAAAAAAAAAAAAACGAAGGTGAATCGTCCGCTGGAACACGGAAAGATACACCGCCACGTTTGATCCTCCTCTAGAACATCAGCGCCTGTGTTTGATCCACCTCATCCCGCCTCTGTTTGATCCGCCTCTATCACATCAGCGGGTGAAGGTCCGCACTCCACCACTCAAGAAATCAAAACAAAAAAAAACAAGAGTGAATCGTGCGCATGGAACACAGAAAGGTACACCGCCACGTTTGGGCACCTCCGCCATCGCTCCTGAAGGTCCGCGCTCCACCACTCAAGAAATCGAAAAAAAAAAAAAAAAAAAAACAACGAGAGTGGATCGTCCGCTGGAACACGGTAAGATACACCGCCACGTTTGTTGTCTTTTGCACAATGTGATGTCCATAGTAGTGGAGAGACCCGAGATTAGCACATCAAATTCGATCCCACACGTCAACCTTTGAAAGGCTTCCTCCGCACCTTATTTCCACCACCACACCCTCACCGAGATGACGACAATCGCAAACGAACAGTACGGTGCGCTACAATGCGCGCGAAACAGGTGGAACGAGCCAAAGGGATAGATGGAGTGGGCAGATGGATTGCATCCTGCATTTCGATCAGAGGGCAACCGATCGAAACGCGGTGAAGGATGTATCTTGCACGCGAGTTCAGTAAGTAGAACATGTAATGCGTGATTGAAGATATGTCGATGACATTTTTTTTATTTTTTTTTTAAGGAGAAAAAAGCGAGTTTGGGCATTGCTTGTCACGATGGGCTTCGCTCCACTGTCTCCACTTGCCTGAAGGACAAGGCGCGCCACCTTCGCCACGGACAAGGGGCGCTTCAATGGCGCCAACAACAGCAAATTAACGTGGGAAAATGACGGGCTGAACAGCACGAGGTGTGCGCCATAGCCATCTGCCTTGGATGGGAGCGCATTCGCCTTCTTCGATGGGCTGCTGTCGAAACTGCCCCGCAGTTGCCCACCAACACGAAATGGCACGCACTGCGGAGGACGGCGCTTCCACGGACCCCGCGCC